TATATTTTTTTCTACTTCAGCACTCTACTACTAGTAAAGTTGTAATCTGATGGTAATTAGCTGGCTTCATTATGTTTTCATAGTATAACCAATATGTTCGTTAGGAGTTTTTTGCATTTCATGGAAGTCTATGAGTTTCTCTCAAATGAATCAACACTGCCATCTTCTGTACTTTTTTTGCTTTGCAAAACACACTACCAAGGGAATGTGTGGCTTTATAATTTTACATAAGTATAAAAAATAAAACGTTGAAAATATGTTTGTCTGTTTGTATTTGGGGAAGGATAATGGACTCTTTGTGGAATGTCTGAAGTCCAGATCCCTAGACTGAAAGGGACAGTACTTCTGAAGGGAGGGACCTGTTAGGAGTTCTGGCTGTGGGTGTTTGTGTTAGGGCTGAGTTGCGGGTGGATAAGAAGACAGATTACAGGTGCCCATTTTGATTGGAGTGGGGCCTGTTCCAGGGAAAAGTAGGGATGGTAGCTGTAAAAGGGTTTGGGGGAGGAGTGGCTGATCAGTTTTTCTGACATCTGTGGGTCCACAGAAAGACAAACACTGCATTCACTCCCACGTACGTGGAATCTAAAATGTAGAAGCAGAATGGTGGTTACTGGGGGTGGAGGAATGGGGTAGATGATGGGCAAAGGGCACAGAGGCTCATTTGGGACGCGGAAATTTTTGAGCTCTATTGCAGAACGTGGTGAATATAGTCAATGTGTATTTCAAAATTGGTGACATTAAATTTCAAATATCCCAAAAAGTATTTAAATATTAGTAAATATTTGTGAGGTGGACAAAATAGCAACAATGAGATGCAGATTCACACTATGGCTCTGTAAATTGCAACTGGGCGACCATGTGCAAACTATTTAGCCTCACTTAGCTTTTGTTGCCTCCTTTTGTCTGAATGGCCTCACTTCAAAACACCTGAGATCATTTTGAGCAGAAACATGTAGATGAACATCTTCAGCCATGGTCACCCTGGCTGCAGTTATCCAGACAAGAGTCTGAAGGAGTGAGAGACAGAATCTGGGGGGATGGCAGTAGAGGAGGGAAAGGCCAGGCACTGTAGCAGGTTCTTTGTGTCATCTCTGAAATTCTCACCCCACCCCTCTCTACATGAAGTAGTCTAAAACTTTTTTCCTGGTCAGCTGGGAGGTGGAGGTGGTCAGCTGCATCCTGGCCAAGATTAGAGAGCAAAAAGGTGGCAGTTCTGGGGCCACGGTTTTTTCCCCACTTCCTCAATGCTGTTGGCATTTGGTGGTTCCTGTCTGATTCCAAGTGATGGTTTTACCTGAGATTTAACAAACAGCCTCCTTGTTCTTTCTTATGGACACTAAAAAAAAAAAAAAAGTACGAGTAAAGAGGAGGATAAAGCTGCACAGCACAGAACTGGGAAGGTTGAGGGAATGGATTTTCCTCCCACGCAGGCCTTTCCCTGGGGGGGTTCCTCCTGCTGTAGCAATTAGTTGTCCTTAATTCTTGCTCTAGCCTGAGAGAATCCCAACCTCCTTCCTCCCAAAAACCTAGCCTGGAAATATCTACTACAAAACCAAACAGATTAAAGTTCCATGTTACACTTTTTCACTAAACCCTTACCCTCTAGGAAAATCAAACATTTTAGGAATGACAAAGTATAGGAAGCCCTCCTTGAAAGCCATCAGAGGAAGCAACATGATTAGCAGTTTGGTTCTTGGGCCAATTCTTGCTGAACTTTTCTCTTTTTTTCTTTTTTTATTTGAGACAGAGTCTCACTCCATTGCCCTGAGTAGAGTACCGTGGCATGAGCCTGGCTCATAGCGACGTCAAACTCCTGGACTCAAGCAATCCTCCTGCCTCAGCCTCCCTAGAAGCTGGGATTACAGGCTCGTGCCATGACCTAGTATTTCTTTTTTTCTTTTTTGCCCATGATTTGAGAGGAAAGATATTTCTATTTTTAGTAGAGAGAGGGTCCTGCTCTTGCTCAGGCTGCTCTTGAACTCCTGACTTCAAGTGATCCTCCTTCCTCAGCTTCCCAGAGTGCTAGGATTACAGGTGTGAGCCATCCGTGTCTGGCCTCTATACATTTTTATTTAAAACCTGCCAGGCAGTAGAGGAAACAAATGCCTGAGCTTCAAGTCATGGTTCTCCACCGTAACGGTATGATAAAATCATTTGGGGAAGCTAAAAAATACACATGCCAGGCCTCTCCTGGGCCGATTCAGAATCTGAGTGGGCCCCGAGGCAGTGAATATATTTAAAGCTGCCCAGGTGTTTGTAATGCACAGCCAAATTGAGAAAACCACTGAAGTTCCTCAGCCTTTTGACTGTAGCCAAATTTTACCAAACAAATCCTTTTAATAAAGGGATTTGTTCTGTGAAATTTGGATTCAGTCGAGGGGCCACCCTTGGGTATCTGGAGGGTCACATGTGGCCTTGAGGCTGCAGGTTCCCCAACCCTGTGGACTCAACCAAGGGCTACTCCTGATTCTATTTTTGGGAGGGTAGCGCCATAGGAGAGGGAGGACAGGAAGCTTTCAGTGCTTCCAGGAGCAGCAGCTGGTGGTAAGAGGCTTTCTGCTTTGAGCTGGAGCCTGAAGGCTTGAAAGGCTCCGGCTCACTGGCAATAGCAGCGATGACAGAGGTTAAAGAAGAATCTCTGGCAAGTTTAATGGGCCAAAACAGAACTCCTGAGGCTGGACCAATTAAATTCATGACTTTCTCATTAGGAAGCAATATCAAAATATAAGAAGTCATGGCTTACATGCTGAACTTAAAGCAATCACTTTGCAACATCAGCCCCAGGTGGAACTGGCTGGCCCCTGGGAGCTGAGAAATGTATCAAATAAACAAATACTCTAGGATTCTTGGAGGAGATTTTTTGAGGGAAGGCTGAAGCCTTGAGGGAAAGGAGGGCAGATGGAATGACAATTGCAGGGGAAGAAAGTAAAAAACAATGTATTTCCTACATCCACAATGGCTTCCTTCCAACTTTGATTCTTACACTCAGTGAATCTAAGTTATGTGACTCATAAATGAGACTGTTTTCGTATGGCTTAGAAACCCCCAATTATTCTGTTGTATGTGGCTTTCTCACAGAAAATGGAGAGAAAGGTAGTAACACACATCAACCAAACATTATCTGCATTTATACTTTTTTAATTTTTTTTTTTTTTTTTTTTGAGCTTGAGTCTTGCTCTGTTGCCGGGGCTGGAGTGCAGTGGCATCATCATATCTCATTGCAACCTCAAATCGTACCGTCAAGGTCCTGTCCATGGCTGGATTTCGAAGTGTTTCCCCAGTTCTTGGGCTCCTGGCTTGGAGGAATCACAAGCCTTGGCCCACGTGACAGAGAGGGATGACAGACACTCAGCAAGTATGCCTGAAGAATTTATTGTAAAGAAAGTTTAAGGGTGCAAAGTGAAAGTACATTTCCTAAGGGGAAAATGGGTCTGTCTCCACGAGAGGAGAAGACACTTCTTCTGTGGTTTTCTTTTTATACGCTAGTAGCGTATGTTGATGTATAGGTCTGTTATAATTATTTGTAACTACATGTCACGGGTTTTGGGGTTTGGATTTTTCCAGGTATGGACATAACTTAATGGTTATGTTCCAGACATTCCTTTCTCCTATACATGTGATGGGGAAAGTCACCATTTATGGTGTTTTTCTATTTTCTGATTGGTGGTCACTGTTCCATAGTCTAATTACCCCATTCTTTAAGACTGAAATAACTGTTTTCCCTGATTATTTTTCTGTAACTATTTCTTTTTTACTGTTTTTATTTAACTGTTTCTTCCTTCTTGTTTTTCTGCTCCTATCATTCCATTACCTCTTGTTTTTCTGTCCCTAACACTCCTGCCTCAGGCTCCCGAATAGCTGGGACTACAGGCATGTGCCACCGTGCCAGCTAATTTTTTAAACAACAACAAAAAAAATTTGTAGAGACGTAGTCTTGCTATTGCCCAGGCTGGTCTGGAACTCCTGGCCTGAAGCGAGCCTCTTGCCTCCGCCTCCCAAAGTTGTGCCCAGCCAAAACATTATTTAAATTTATAAGGGAGTACAAGAGGGCCTCCCAGGAAGATGGGGATTTGGAATGATACAGGCGTTGGTGGATTAAGGGCCAAGGGCAAATGACTAAGGAAGATTTTGGAGGGAGGGAAAACTAGAGAAGGGAGAGTAAGGCCTGGCTATTGCCGCCCCACCCTAACACGGTTTGCTTCCAATCCCCCTGTGACGAAACATGGTGCTACTTAGAGAGTACCTAACACTTCATCCGCTTTTGGCCAACTCCGAGGCCGCAGGCTGCTCATAAAAAGTGCAGGAAGCAGGGGGAAATGGGGAGTTGTCTAATGGGCATAGCGTTTCAGTTTTGCAAGATGAAAAAATCCTGGAGATCCGTTGTACAACAATGTGAATATACTTAACACTAGTGAAATGTACGCTTAAAAAAGGCTGAGAGCAAAAAACTTATCAAATTGAATATTTTAAACATGCATAGTTTATTGTATGTTAATTATATCTCAATAAAGCAGTTAAAAAAAAAAGACACGAAGCTTGAGGTGCTTGACAGTCTGCGCGCCGCAGGGCAGGGGAGGGAATTCGGATTTCGCCGGGTGGACTGGGCGGGGCGTCTCGGGGCGGCGGGCCCCGGCCGGGCGAGCGCGCGGGGAGACAACACCGCACCAACGGCCGCGCAGGGCCCTGTGCTGAGCAGGGGCGCGCAGCTCGTGCCTGTCGGCCGGCGCCGGGGCCTTTCTCCCGCTCCGCCTGCCAGATCGCCCTGTTTTTTGTTTTTCAAAATTCACAAAACAGCTCCAAATATTTGCCCAGAGGAGTGTGAAACATACTTTCATGGCCTTTTTTTCACTTTGTTTTGTTCCTATTGGACGAACGATGAGGAAAATGCTGCGTGTCGAGCCAGGCAGGTAGGAAGACATCCCTCCCCTCAGGCCCCCGACCGGCGCAGCCATAAATAGCCCGGGCCGAGCACGCGGCGCTCTTTTTGCGCGGAGGGCAGGCTTGCTGGTGTTGAGCATAGGGTTGCGGGTGTCTTCCTGGTACCTGCTGCGGAGCCCACTGCCGAGCGAGGGGGGGCGGCAGGCTCCTGCGTCCGGCGCCGCCTTTGCACAGCAGTCCGTGCGCGGGTACCTCCGAGCCCGGCTGGAGGGAGGGGACTGCAGGCCTCGGCCGACCTAGATGAACAACCGCTGCAGAGTAGTTCGTGATGTCTGCCTGACGCCACTGCTTGGAACTGACCTAGGTCAGGTCGGGGAACTCAGCTGGAATCGCCCCGACCTCTGCTGACTCGTTAGTATCTTCCCAAGCTTCTGATCCTCGCGACGCCATGATGGTGAGTGCATTGTTCTATGATTGTGAGATGACCTGGCGGTCGGCCTCGGGGAGGACGGGGGTGATGACGACCCCGGGTGACTGAGTGTCTCGCTGATGCCAATCACCGCAGCGCGCTGACCGTCCCCCGGGCCAGGATCCCTAGATCTGGGCTTGGGGAGAAGTTGATGGTCAGGAACCCTTATTAAACTTAAGCTCTTGTGTCTCGTTTTCCCATTAGGAGTTGTTAAGACGTCTGTTGGTGTGTTGTCCTTGAATAAAGGTGAGTACTGGGTGCGAGAGCTCCTTGAGTTTCTCTCGCTGTTTTATTCCCAAGCTATTGTGGGGCATTATGGAGGTTTGCCTATTTTCTAATGAACATGTGCAGCAGTGAAAATATTTCACCTGCTGATTTTCTAAAGACCGCCTTTTTTCCCTTTTATTTTGAGACTGTCTAGTTCTGTGGCCTAGGTTGGAGGCAGTGCCAGGGTCATTCATAGCTCACTGCAGCCCCCAATACCTGGGCTCAAGCAATCCTGCCTCAGCTTAGCCTTCGCATTAGCTGGGACTACAGGTGCACCTCTAGTTTTTTTTTGTTTTTGCTTTTTTTTTGAAGTGTCCGGATCTCCCTATGTTGCCCAGGCTGGTCTTGAGCTCTTGGCCTCAAGTGATCATCCTGCCTCAGCTTCCCGGAGTGCTAGGATTATAGGCATGAACTGGCGTGCCAGCCTTAAAGACCACTTTTTGGTTTACATTTTGCTTGCGACTATTACTTATATCTTAACATATCATGCATCCTTCACCCATATTTCTACTGTAAACCTGGAGGTACACTGGTACCTCCCAGTGGAGCTCATCTGCAGTTCTGAATTACCTACTCCTCTGTCAAACTTCCATCCCTGGACTCATTTGTTAGATCCTTATATACTGGAACTTTTTTTTCTTTCTTTCTTTCTTTTTCTTTCATCCCACCCCCCTGGAACTGTTGTCTTTGAGTGTACTAGGTCCCTTCCAAATGGCTTCCCTTGATCCAGGTCTCCCTAAATTGGGAATGATGATTTCACAGACTAGAGTCTCTGACACTGGTCCTGATGTCAAAACTAAGTTCTGACTCATTTAGGGAACTGGATACTTGGGTCCCTGAGAGGAGCCAAAGGGAGGGCTGTTAACTCTCTGCTTATTCTCATTGGTGGTTCCATTTCCATCTTTCTAGAATGAGAGATCTGGAAGCCCAGCCAGGGGCAATGCCCCTTCACAGATTCTGCACTAACCTGATGGCCAAAGGCCTAAAGTTTGGAACCTACTCCTTTGGGGACTTGCTTTTGGGAAGGCTGTGATGCCTAGATGATGGTTCCTGCTGCTTGACCTTCAGGCTGTGCTGAGCCATGCCCTTTCTCCCTGTTTGCTGTGGTGAGTGTCCTCTATTTTGGTTTCCAGCCCCAGAGTGGTAATGATGACCTGGTTGGACTAGAGTCTCTGAGCTTGTCTCTGAGGATCTTTGAAACCACCTGATCCACTCTTCACCTCCTCTCCATCCTGTCTGGCACCCCCTCCCCTACCTGTCCCTCTTCATATATTTTTACTGCCAGTTGCCTACATGGTTTTAATGTGTTCCTTTTATGAAATTTCAGGATTTTGCTGACACAAAGGATGTCCTCTAGTTGGTGTTGAACAGATCCTAGGAACTTCTTTCCTGTATTGATCTCTGTGAATAGCTATAATCTTATTGGAGAAAAAGTTACTTAGAAATTTGGGGGCACTTACCTGTCAAGTAGATAGCTTTCACTTGCATTTGCTTTATCTCGTGCAACAACCTGGTTTTATCTGAAAGACTCCAATAAAATATTTTAAAGCAAATATTTTTTGGTCTCAGTAAAAACGGAACAGTACAAAAAGATTAAATAATGTCTCACCAGTGAATGATCATCAGTTTGTATCCAGCTATACCTCTTTATAGTTAGGTATAAAATATGAAGATTAGATTGCACCACACATTAACACTAAGGATTAGCATTCTGGTTTGTTGTTTTTTTTTTTTAACTATATTTACATTTCATAGAAGACTGCTATATCATTCTAATGTGCTACATGTTATGGACAAGCGTTTTGAGGGTTTTGATGATGTAAACTGTCGACATGGGCATCTAATTTGCCTTTTGATTAGTCAGTGAAAACAGGGTGTCCAGACATCTGTAAAAAGAATGGACTCCATTCTCTTTTTTTTTGTTTTTTGTTTGACACACAGTCTCATTCTGTTGCCCAGGCTAGAGTGCCGTGGCGTCAGCCTAGCCCACAGCAACCTCAAACTCCTGGGCTCCAGCGATCCTCCTGCCTCAGCCTCCCGAGTAGCTGGGACTACAGGCACGTGCCACCATGCTTGGCTAATTTTTCCTATATATTTTTAGTTGTCCAGCTAATTTCTTTGTATTTTTAGTGGAGACCGGGTCTCGCTCTTGCTCAGTCTGGTCTCGAACTGAGCTCAAACGATCCTGCCTCGGCCTCCATTCTTTTTGTTTCACTCTTGAATATCCCTACCCACATGGGCAGGTATATATTGATGGTTAGAATGGACTATTATCCAGCTTCTGTTAGGGGACATTTAGATTCCCAGTCATACTGTACTTGTGCTGATACCCTGTTATTTGTACTCATTTAAAGTTGTGTCATGGAATACATTTTCAGAAGTAGAATTTCAGAGTCTAGATTTAGGGGCCAGGCTTAGCTCCCAGCTACAATCCAGGCACTTTGGGATGCTGAGGTGGGAACATCACTTGAGGCTAGGAATGAGTTTGAGACCTGCCTGGGTAACAGCAAAACAGTGTCTGAACAATAAACAGGAAAATTAGCCAGGTGTGGTAGCACAAACCTGTAGTCCAAGCTACTTAGCAGGGTGAGGTGGGAGGGTTCTTGAGCCCAGAAGTTTGAGGTTACTGTGAGCTATGATTGTGCCACTGCACTGCAGCCTGGGCAACAAAGGAAGACCCTGCCTGAAAAAAAAAAGCACGTCAAAAGCATATGTATACAGTATGTAATGTTTAAAAACAATTGAAGAAGGCTGGGTGTGGTGGCACACGCCTGTAAATCCTAGCACTCTGGGAGGCCAAGACAATTCCTTGAGCCCAGGAGTTTGAGGTTGCTGTGAGCTAGGCTGATGCCACACAGCACTCTAGCCTGGGCAACAGAGAAAGACTAAGTCT